AACAGTTAAGGTAGGACTGCCTTTCTTTCCAGTCAACCCAGAGAAGCAGAGCAGGGAGGGAATATAGATTTATTTATTGAGCATTTGTTTGTTTAATATGCCCCCCCAACGTATAAAAAGGGAACTCTGGGAGGTGTACATCAACTTTAAAAAATCCAAAAGTTCAGTTACAATTAAAACAACTATGGTGCTTCTTTGTTTTGGAGCAAAATGCTTGCTTTCAGATCTTCTTCATCCAAAGATTTCTCACGATAAAGTAGTTTTCCCCAACTTTGGGCAATCCAATTTTTGCTGGCATGATGATATGCTGTGCTTCTTCTCATTTCTGTCTGAGTAAAGAAATGTGTTGCCCATTTGGGTAGCGATGGGTGGAATATTTTTATGCTTCTATTTTATGCCTTCCCCATAATACTAAATCCATGTACCCCCTCCATATCAACAACAATTGCCATGGAAATCTCAAAGGTGTGCGTGAGAGAGAGACGGCAGTGATTCACATATGGCGACTTTACGGTAGATATTTTGCAGAATACAAAACAGAGGGGTAAGACCATTTAAATCAGTGCTTCTCAACCTTGAGAACTTTAAGATGGGTGGACTTCAACTCCCAGAATTCCCCAGCCAGCCATGTTGGCTGGAGAATTCTGGGGGTTGAAGTCCACCCATCTTAAAGTTCCCAAGTTGAGAAGCACTGATTTAAATCATGAACTAGAGATGAGAGATGGACAGCAACATGTAAACTGGGAGTAAATATGGAGTTGCCACACAGCTCAAGTGCCACTGAAAACTGCAGGTGAGGAAAGCCAACTGGGAATTCTGCATGTTGTAACACATTTAGGAAAAGACAGGTTTGGGGCAGGCAGAACCTGGAATCCAAGTGGAAGACAGAACAGCTGCAAGACAATTGTATTTTGCTTTAATACCCTACTTTAAGAATCTACTTCCCCAGAATATTTGATTTCTTGCGATTTTGATACAGTATGGCCATCTTAGCTGAGGTGGCATTCCAGCAGAAATCGCAGCCATCTGGACTTTGGGGTGCTGGGCCCTTGATCCAGGTTCTTACAAGCCATTAGACCCACCTGCTTTTCATCTGCTGTTGTTTTCCATCAACCAATCTGGCCCAGCCTTTGAACCAAATTGTTCCCAGCAGAGGCCTAAAGACGCGGCTCCCTGTCACGAGAGCCTGTTGCTCTAACCCTTTTCTATCAGGAAGGATGAATAACCAAGGTCTAACCAATGCCGCATGTGAAGCAAGCTTTGAAGAGGAATGAGGGCAGGGCCAAGACACGAGGGCAAGGCCACGTCCTGGGTAGACCGTTGCTCTGCAGCTAATCCCCAGGCTGGTTTGCCAAGGTTCAGAGTATGTGGCTTTGATGAGGATTGGCTTGTGGCTTATTTGACAAGCCATGGTTGAACATACCTAGCTGAGCACAAGTTGGGTTCCAATCAGAGTTCACACATGCTAGGCTAGGTCGCTTTAAACATTGTTTGTATAATAAGTCATACTTGGATGGATTTATATAACATGCTAAATCGGGATGGCTGGATACCCAGTAGGAAGGAAGCCAGTTGTGCTTTATAAAGTGGTTTGTGGTTGTGTTGCATGAACCCAGTCACTTGGTTTAATGAACAAAGCATGGTGAAACAAGCTATGATTTAGTGTGCTGTACATTCTGACAACCTTTGAAGGCTAACAAACTGACAGCCACTGTTTTGAATGGCTAGCTAGAGTCATATAATAGACTGACTCACAAGTTAAATAACCAGATTTTAGCCTAGCATATGAGAAACCAGCTTAGGTGGCTAGTTGATGGTTCAGTAAATTGTCCAAATGCAGAAAAACCATGGCCCACTTAACCATGGATTAGCATGTTGCAACAACACAACTATCACATGGCTTTTTTTTTTTTTTGCACTGATGGCTTTGCAGATATGGACCAAGGCATCATAGGTGCCCAGTACAAGCTACAATGAAGTCACATGTGTGATGACATTATTGTGCGATGACATCATGATACACATCCTACTCCCCCCCAATGCATGGCAGTTAATCATCACGGGGAGTCTTTTACTAAACATGGTGAATATTCAACATTTAGAGCAGTGTTTCTCAACCTTAGCAGCTTTAAGATGGGTGGACTTCAACTCCCAGAATTCCCCAGCCAGAAGGCTGACTGGGGAATTCTGGGAGTTAAAGTCCACCCGACTTAAAATTGCCAAGATTGAGGAACCCTGATTTAGAGGGTGCAGAAGAAGAGATCTGATCCTTGAGCGTCTTTGCATTGACCGCCCCAGAGACCAAACAATCAATTATTTGCTTTCAAAAGTAGTAGTCCCAACAGGGTTGTCTGGAGAGAGTGGTCAAAAAAAAAGGCAAGATGTGTCCATCCTGACTTTTTTGACCACATCCTACGGACACCTCTTTTCTGAGGAACAGTGATCTGATGTCCAGCCCTGTTCTCCTCAGCTCAGATTTAGATGAGTCAGTTATAAAATCTGCCACCCGCTGGCAATATTTGAGCTCTCACTGACAGCCCTGTCGCAGTTTGACCTTAAAAAGTATTTTTTAAAAAGTATTCTCCACCACTGTATTTGCATAACTCACGCCTGTGATTAGCTTCAACATAGTTGATTCAGTTAACCCAACGGAGTGTTCAGGATCCACTCAAGCCTACGTTAACCTTTGGGGCTTGGCTGAAGCGGGTTGGGGTTAGGCGGGTCTGATCATGGAACATCACCAAGCTTGACACAGCAGGGAACGATGGCGGTCCCCATTCAGAAATGGGTCAGGAATCCAGGGGTTGTCCAGCCCAAGACTTCCTCCAGGTGTGGCTCAAGAAGCACCACGCCCCTCCCGCCACGGGAAGGCAGCCACGTCGCCGGCCCAGCGCAACGCTCTCCTCGCGTCTTCTCCACCCGCACGGGTCTCTCGTGTGAACGTGCCGCACGTGTCTCAGCCACTCTTCTGGAAATCATTTCAGCCATAGGCCTCGGGCGCTCGTCGCCGGGGGGAGGTGGCGGCAGAAGGAGGAGCCGCCCGTTCGCCTGGATTCCCGGGGTCACTTGGTCCCTCCTCGCCCGCCTCCCTCGCAATCGCCGCCGCCCCCGCCGCCTGAGCACCTCAGGGAAGCGGGCGGCGCTTTCTGCAACGTCCCC